TCACCCCCCCCCCCCCCAAGTCCACCCTAAGCCCTAAACCCGAAGCACCCTAAAACCGCCTAAACCTACAAACACCCTAAACACCCTGAATCCTAAGTCCTACATTTTAGCCTATAGGGACCCAAAACTCTAAATCCCAAGTCCTGAACTTCTGCCTAGAGACATTTTTGGGCGCAATCTCCTGTGGCGCGGCCGGGATGATCTGCGCCGGCAGGGCCACCATGGCGGAAAGCGTTTGGAACGGTCTGACCCTCTAAGGGTGTAGGGATTAGGGTTTCGGGTTTAGGGACTCCGCTGTAGGGCTTAGGGATTCAGAGTTAGTGTCTAGGGATTAGGGGCTAAAAGGGCTTAGGGGCGAGGGCTTCTTTCAAAAACTCAGAGCTCGTTCTGCTTGGGAAGAGGGTGTCTGTAACGAGTCCTGAAAATTTTTTAAAAAAATCAGGGCCTTTGGGTTTAGCGCTTAGGGGCCTCAATGATTAGGATTGGGCTTGGGGGTCTCTTATATTGTATCTATATGTAGGTATGATGACTAGGATGCTATCGAAACCGAAGGAATACTGCAGATAATGGCTCAGACCTCTATATTCGATGCCGGGGGCAACAAAGTAGATAGAGCGAGAGAGACTCGAGGTGAGGCCCCACACCCCCCCTTATAAGACCACGAGATTGCTCGAGCCATACGCCAGATCCGCCAGCCTGAATGCCAGAAGCTTGAACCCTGAACCCTCCGCCAAATACGGTTGGTTGCGGGTTGTTGAGCTCTGTGGGACTATAAGCTTACAAATCGATATAACCTTACTTACTAAGTCCCATGATCCTCCAAGTATTCGGTGGATGCCAAATAATCGGTTTAGAGTTTAGGGTTTTGGGGACATAAGCTCCGTGAAATCCTAAAGCCCTCATCCCTAAAACCCAAAACCCTAAAGCCTAAAACCCTAAAACCCTAAACCCAAAACCCTAAAACACTAAACCCTTTTTAGGGTTTAGGGTTTAGGGTTTTAGGGCTTAGGGTTTTAGGGTTTAGGGTTTTAGGGTTTAGGGTTTTAGGGTTTAGGGTTTAGGGCAGCGTACTAGACGAGACAATACTAGGCTAGACTGTACTGTACCAAACTGTGCGCAACACAGTAGTAAACTGCATCAGACTGTGCTATACCAACGGTATGTTACTGTGCGCTATGTCTAAACCTAAAACCTCGAGTTTGGACGCTTCTTTTCTCTGCTCGCAGGAACCATCAAAAACGCTGGCCTGGACGTGCGGCAACTCTTGAGAGGGAAAAATCAGAGCAGCTGCACTGCAAGGTCACCTTACATCGGCGAACCGGGCCAGGCAATGTTTCCGCAGTTTTGGCAAAACCGGGACATGTGCACTTCCACTGTGAAACGGGATCTTGCATGTTGTTCTGCGACGGCATCGACGGAAAATACTGAACTAAGCCCCACACCTTAAACCCTCTTCCCTTCGTCGTTTCAGCCGCAGATGCAACTCACGAGGGCCCCTTCATCACCACCTGATGCAAGAAGGGACTAGGGTTTGCGGCTAGCGTTTAGGGGTTTTGGCATTGAGGTTACGGCGCAGGAGTTGGGGGCTTAGGATCTAGGGGTAGGGGTTTTGGAGTTCGGGGGTTTAGGGTCAAGGAGTTTGGGGTTGTGGGTCAGGTGCTCTAATCGTTGCTATAAGACTGCTACCACTCGCCCGACGACACCCTAAACCCTAAACCCTAAACTCCTAAACCCTAAACTCACCATCCCTAGTACCCCGCTACGACGATCACTGTGGCTTGGTGATTTCGGGTGAGGATCTCTATAGACACGGCAAATGCGGCCCCCTGATTCCTCCCCCCGCTCTTTGTGGGCCTTCATGTTCCGATCCCTGGCAAGATCTCTTGCGAGGCAGCTGGTTTTGAATTTCGTAACTCCTACAGCTTGGGGTTTAGGGCTTAGCTCTTGAAGTAGACCTACACCCCCAAACCTTGCTTCCCAGGTCTTGAATTGGCCTCAACGGCGCTTCTTGAAGGCCCCAATTTCCGCCCTAAGCCCGAATCCCGAAACCCAAAACAGATACCTTGAATCAAAGAACCATACTATTCAAGTCCCTAGAATCTGATGTATACTCCTTGTAACCATTCCTTTAAGGGGTTCCTCTAAGGGCTTCTTGGGTTCCTCTACGGGTTTCTTTAAAGGCTGGGTTCTCCGAGTAACAGACCTCAGAGAAGCTCTGGCTTGTTGAAGTAGATCCAGAAGAGGACGGCGGGGCCGAGGCCTGGACGTCAGGAGGCTTAGGGTTTAGGGTTTAGGGCTTTAGGGCTTCAGGGTTTAGGGTTTTAGGGTTTATGGTTTAGGGTATCCTTACCCTTACCCTCGAAGTACTCATAGTTTAAGGCATTTTGGGCCCAAAGACCCTATTATATAACGCTTCTGGGCTATTTTGATGCTAAGGGTTCGGGTTAAGGCTTTTTGAGGGGTGTTTGGTTTCAAAACTGAGGGTTTAGGGCTTCAGAGTTTGTGGATTCGGGATTTGGGCACGCTTGCAGGATCAGTATGTAGGTGAAAATCGGGGGACATTGACAGATAACGTCAACCAGAGGACTTCTACAACCCAAGCTTGAAGCCTGAACCTAAAGCCTAAAACCTACTTTCCAGGTTCACCTGTGTAGAGCTCCATTATTCTAGTCTCGAACCCTAAACCCTGTAGTAGTTCAGGTTCCTGAAGTCCTGAGCCCAAGTGGCTGATGATGAAGACCGCCCAGCCCAGCTGCAGCAGCGCGTAACCTGGAAATCGCTCATGGTGTCATGGTTTCGGGCGTTTTGGGCTTAGGTTTGAGGCAGGGTTGGGCAGGGGGTTGTGTTTAAACTTAAACTGTTTAAACATTTATTGTTTTAACGCCGGGATGCTTAAATAAACGGGCTCCGCAGCAGAAGTTGTTTAAACTGTTTAAACGCTGTTTGAACGCCAAACTGTTTAAACAAACAAATGATGTTCAAACACTCACATGTTTAAATATCTCTACTCTGAACTGTGCCATACACTCACTTTACCTTCAGAACTGCTGCTCCAACGTTTAAACCGTTTAAACCGTTTAAACCGTTTAAACGTTGAAAACCAGAGAAACGCCTCAAACGTCCTGCTTCTCAAACCTTCAGAAGTAATGTTCCAAAGTTTAAAATTAACACGTTTAAACGTTTAAACCGTTTAAACGTTTCAACCGTTTAAACGTTTAAACGCCTGGAACGTCCTGGTTCTCATACCTAAGTGCTGCTCCGACGTCTAAGCGGTTTAAATGCCTCAAACGTCCCCGCGAAATGTTTAAACATGTCTAAACGTGCAAACCAGACATGCTTAAACATGTTCAAACATGCCGAACCCCGACCTATGTTTAACATGTTTAAGCGCCCGGAATGTTTAAACGTTTAAACTCCAAACGTGTTTGGCCCATCTCCGGTTTGAGGGTAGAGGGCATCGAATCCAGCTGTGGCTGGGATCGGGGGAGACTGTATCTACATTCAGGACTCGCAAAAAGTATTGATGCCAATGCTGTGCGATTCGGAATAGGGATTTTCTGGCTGCTGCTGTGACTTCGAAACTCGCCAGTTGTGCTCTTCTTCGAAAAACTATCAACACACACCTTGCGATCACTGCGGTTCGGGCTATGACCAAGCTTCTGTCCGAGTATTTGAATGCTATAGCATCTGTCATTGCTTGTCGCGGCTGCTACCGCGAACATCATCATGACGACGACGGCATCGACGACTACTTCTACTACCTTCTGCTACTTTGTACTAGCTTCAACCACCTTCTACTACCTTCTACTACCTCTATACTACTTCAGCTCTTCCTAGGACTTCTACTACTTCTACTTCTTCTACTCCTACTGCTTCTCCTACTTCTTCTACTAAGGCGCTAAGACTTCGACGACGACGACGACGACGAGGACTACTACTACCACCACTAGCTCACTACCGCTTCTACAGTAGTGCTTCTACTTCCTGAAGCCCGGAAACCCTAAAGCCCTAAAGTCTAAGCCCATCTAGATCCCCTATAGATCCCTTTTACAACCCTTTCTGATCCCTCTAAAGGAAACCTAAACCCTAAACCCCTTAAACCCCAAAGCCCTAAGCCCACGTTTCAGGGACTTCCAAGGCCCTCGCCCGAGTTGCCGGCATGCGCAACCTGCTTCGCCCCAAACTTGACGGCGTGTAGGGGCTTGAGGTTTAGGGATTCGGGGTTTAGGGGCTCTGGGGTTCTGGGTTTGGGGGTTTGGGGTTTCAGGGTTTAGAGATTGGTATTTTTGGGGGTCTAGGACCCACGCAGGGATTTACATGTTCAGGGCGGTGATTGAAGGTTCAAGCCATGGTGGGTAGGGGATAGGCCCGGTAGTACACAGTAAACCCCGGACACATCTAGAACCCTTAAAGGGACCTTTATCGAGGTCTTACACGAACCATTAAAGGGAACCCTAAACCCCTAGACGCCTAAACCTTAAACCCCCTAATCCCAAAACCCCTGTATGCCCCAAGCCCCTATTCCCCAAACCTGTGCTCACAGCTGGGGATTTCCGAAAATAGGGGACCCCGGTATAGTACCCTAAATCGTAGGATCGAGAACATAGGGACCCCAAAATGAGGTACCCTAAACCCTAAACCCTAAAACCCTAAACCCTCAACCCTAAAACCCTAAACCCTAAACCCTAAAACCCTAAACCCTCCGGACCTCTGGAGCAGCGCCAGCGACGGCACCCAGGATGGCCATCTGCGGGATCATGATGTTTGATTTAGGGCTTTTGGGCTTTAGGGTTTGGGGTTTAGGGTTTAGGGGTTTAGGGTTTAAGTTTGGGCATACTTCAGGATGCAGGGTTTCGGGTTTTGGGCACTAAACCCTAAACCCTCAACCCTAAACCCAAAGCCTTATCGATGGTTTGTGGTCTTTACCAGAACGTATCCGCCGACCCGGCGGAGCATTGGATGGGTTTGGAGGTGAAGGTGAACACCTCCTTTTTCCGTCTCCACACCCAAATAAGCCCGCCAGACAGGAGTGCAGGGTTTACCCTAACCCTCCAGGTACCTTCTATACGGCCCCAGGGGCTCTAGTATCCTCTATAGTAGGTACCTGGAGGCTTAGGTTTGTGAAGCCACGATATGTTGTTGGTGTTTGGAGGCTGTTATTGCAGGGTATCAGCAGGACATGCTGAAATATTGGGCTCTAACCAACATGACCGCACCATCACT